CGGCCCAAACAAAAGGGCGCATGAACATCCGAACAGCCGACCCCGGTCTACTCAGATCGTGTTGTAACACTGTGTCTCAGACTTGTTTCAGATGGGTGTAGAGCGAGCTTATGCCTTGCTTCCAATTTGGGAGTGGTAGTTTGTGCGGATCCATTTTCGGATTTCTGCGATTGGTTCTTCATGATGAATCGGATGACTTTGTGCCTTCCATGTAGTGCGGGCCCTGTCATGTTTCACCCGTGCCTTTGCCTTTTTTCTCTGTGCTTGGTCAGAGCACAGGCTGCTGGCTGCCAATCCGGCTTGAGTCGCGGTTGCTCCCCTTGTTCATCTGTTTTGGGGTTGATTTCCCAACTGTGAACAACTTAAATCTTGGTTTGCCTTCGGACCCTTGAGCCGGAAAACAACGGCACCCACATGCCATGGGGAGTGAGGCTGGTTTGCTTTGGGTTCCCGGGCTCCTCTTGTTTTTTCAAGGGACACTGGAATCAGCCGGCCATGGGAGAGGAGACAGTGGAGTGCTGGACCCGCAGCTAGCCAGCAGAGTGATGCCGGCAGTGATCAGACCATGGCATCTCGTAAAGGAGAAAAGTCCTCCTTAAGGGGTTCCCCAAGTGACGTCAGAGGTGCAGATCAACAACTCGAGGATGATTTGCGGAAAGCCCAGAGAAAGGCGGAAGTACAGATGAACGAGGCTGCAGAGCAGCATGATGAGAACCAGGCACTGAAGGAGGAATGTGCATCGCTACGATCATCTGTAATTCTGTTGCACATGTCCATGGAAGGATGAAGGATGAGTACAACTTAGCGATGGACCAGCTAAGCATCAAGGCCAACAGGCTGAATGAGCTTGACGTAATGGCCTATGACTTCAACAATGAGACAGTGAGATCTCAGCTTTGTTACGGAAAGCGGTCGAAGCCACCAACGAGTGTCAATTGCGTATTATGTCCCTTTGCATATTCCTATTCCTTTTCCGAACAAATTGATAGATATTTGGGCAAGTGGCAAAATGGACTCATTCTAGGGCACGCTGATGGGCCGGGCCTCTCGACGCTGAGTGGGCGAGGAGCCGATGCGCCACTCTTCTGCACCGACAACCGGGTTAGGCAGCGCCGACGTGTTTGCTCTGAGATACGGGGAGGACGTTACCGTTCATCAGAACGTCAGTATTCAGTGCGTTTTTCTCACTAGGTCAGGTCCAGTTTCCGCATTAATTCAACCGCTGCAGAATAGCAGTCATGTTCGAGCTTTTCACGACGCGAGATTTTGTAGAACAAACAATCAAGACCCGACAGGTTTGGGCGCACGTGTTTACATTGGAGTGGACCCTAGATGAAATGTTTAAGCCACAATTTCAACCTCTGCGCAGATGTCTGACTTGGATGACCGCCCTTCTTATATCTAAGTTGCGCCAGTTACGGATCCTGCAACTGCACATGTAAATGGACCAACATGCATATATATATGTTTGCCAACATGGTGTTGGCAAATATATATCTTGTCTATGTGCCTTGCCCATGTTATAAGTGGAGAGCTTCTACATATATGAAGGGTAACGTATTTGGCATACATGCATCTGACTTGCAGCACATAGCCCTAAGCCCAGTATGTTACTTTTTGTACTTATAAGGGGCACTTATGGTACTTATGTTATGTTTGCTAAGTAGATTTAGCCTACATGGCTATGTGCTCTAAGTTGGACTTAGCAGAGGTTTTATTTGTGTCAACAAGGTCCCAACATCTGATTTGTTCAACCCCACCCCACCACAACAAACATGTAAGCAGGACATCGTTCAACCAGCAAAATCTTAGAGAGCCTGCGTTCATGAATGCTGGACATGCTGTGATAAACATGATTTTGCGTATTACTGTTTACATATTTGTGGCTGCGTGTGCATCGTCCGTGTGAGAGAACATTGCGTGAATGATGGTTTTGAACATCTGCGATATGTTTTTAAATACTGTGACAAGGGTTGTAAACACACATCTAGACAAACATCATTCGTTGACAGGGTGGAAGGACACGTGAAATCAAACAACCTTTTGAGTGAGCTTTCTATCCAGGGATGAACCAAACAAACACGATTGCGATATGTTTTTAAATACTGTGACAGGGGTTGTAAACACACATCTAGACAAACATCATTCGTTGACAGGGTGGAAGGACACGTGAAATCAAACAACCTTTTGAGTGAGATTTCTAGAGCGCCAGGGATGAACCAAACAAACACGAAGGGTTTTGGGAGGGCATAATTTAAGAGCGCTAGACTGCAATACCATATGAAAGGGTTATTTTCCTTCAGGACAAATGGGGAAAACTTTTGGTTATAAACGAACACAAACGGCCAACCGTCTCGCCCCGGCGCTCGGCTGGACCTGCTGCGGTGGCGCTGCGGCAGCCTGCCATGCACAGGCGAGCGCCGCTGGTCGAGGGTACGGGGGAGTGGGGCGGATGAGGGTTTTCAAGATGGGGGCAGTTTCGAAGTTAATCTCATAAGAGCATGATGCATTGTACTGGGTGTTTGGGTAGTTTGCAATGTTGTTGGCTATTGGCGCACTTACATGATTCAATGTTATTGCATATATACACCTCGGTACACACCCTGAGAAACTATGCATGATTGTATATGGCTGAGGGTTCTAAGGAGATACGGATTGGTTTTGGTGCAGTGGGATGGCTGTTGCATAGGGACATGGTTTGCGCCCTCCATGGTGTCAGGGCATACATGTGCAGGGAAAGAAGGGAGGGTAATCCATGCACAGGGTCATGTGGCTGGTGCTTTTATTTGGGCCAAGGCCCCCAAAAAAAATGAACAATCAAGATTGATTCTGCTGTGGGCTGTACCTTGAGAGGGCCATGTGTAAAGTTGCAGCTTGCGTACCGGCATGCGTCTACTTGTTCACTTCGTATCGTAATTGGGCAGGTCAATGTTTTTTGGTTGCGTATATTGTTGGGATGAGATGGTTGAAAGACACGAGCTATAGTGCATCCTCTTGTACGTGGCGAGGTCCAGGGAAAGCTGCAGGTTCTGGCTGGTTTGAATGAACATTTAGGAGCACAATGACGCATCCTTTTGGGGAGGGCATGCTTTTCCTGATTACTGTAGCTAACTAGTCGCGCAAAGTAGTGTTTATAAGCATGTGTGATTGAGGTGTAACTAGGTAGGTCGAACAAGACTTTTGCCATGTTGTTGGAAACGGAGTGACGGATCGCATGGAGAGCAGGGACTTGATCTCGCTCCAGCAGGGACATTTCGTCTCGCTGTGAAAACGGCACAGAAGCCTGGAAACAGACACTTGCGCCTCAGCCTCTCGATCCTGAGCCAATGGACCCAGCAGTCAGGGCTGAGCTGGATGAGGCGATCCGTGCTGCCTCCTCAGAGCAGCTGGTCCAAGGGTCGCAAAGGGTCCTGGCCGTGCTTTCGAAGCACGGCCTGGTTCAGAAGCAGGTCATCGCTCCTGCGTTGGTGGGATGTCATCCCGACAATAGGGATGGGCTGGGGCTCAACCATCTAGATGTGTGGGAGTTGATTGCTTCCATCGCGGCAGTTGGGTGGGACTGGCAAGCGCCCAACCCGATTTGTGTGGAACTTCGTCCCGGGGACGAGGCTGCGGAGCGCTTCAACCAGAAGCTCTCGGAGGCATCGGGCGGTGTTCTACCTCCCAACAAAGCCCACGAGCTTCGGTACGGCTCGGTGTCGTGTTCCCACACGAACGCCGCTCTCCGGTGCTTGTCCCAAAGTGCAGCCGGCCACGAGGAGTTGCACCAAGGGTTGCTGATGGAGGGGCAGCTCTGCGTCCACGTGAGCGACGGGGCCAGGGGTGGGGGCCAGGAGTGGGGGCCAGGGCACCCGAACACACGGGCATGTTTGCTTACAGATACGCATGCTCTACAAGAATTAGTTTCAGTCAATGGTGTTTGGAATATCCAGTGCATCTTCAAAGTTCATTTGCAACATCACACGTACCAAAGAAACATATAGTGAGCTTAAGAGTAACTGGCATACTCGGGGCCAGGCCTTATAACATACACGACTGTAGGGTTAGGATAGCACTGCTTTAAACGGAAGTGCAAGCACTTGATGCAAATTGAGATTCCCATTGAAGCAGGTATTGCTTTTGAAGATAGGCAGCCGAAACAGCAATGCTTCGATTAAAGGAAGTCCTTCTAGAAACTTGCAGTTGGCTTATTAACTTTGGGGATGTTTGGTATAGTTTAGGCCTGCCTGTGTTCGATGGTTTGCAAACACAGAACATGAGACCAATGAAGTTACACACCGTTAACGCGTGCGCATGGCAAATTATTATCAGCAGTATAACTAACATCGACATGAACTTTGGGCTGTGGCGTTATGTCTGCTTATCAGAGCGCGGATGTCCGCAGCTGGGCACATAAGATGAACTCCATCAAGTTTTGTTGTTGCCATCGTTGTTGTTGAAACCACGCTGTCAAACACGGGCATGTGGCTTGGAGAGTGTGTATACCCGACAACACAAGGAGGAGGACACAATAGCGCAACTGGAGGAGGGGATGCCAGATCTATGATATATACATGCGGCCCACTGGTCGCGTTAGGTTTCTTCTATAGGGGTATAGCGCAGTCAACCCGTTTCCCTCAGCTTCTTTAGCTTCTTTTATCCAGTCCAATGCACAAAAAACAAGGCACCGAAAGACCACACGCAAACACACAAACAACAATTTCTTGTGAAAGGGATGTTCACTAATGGGAACGAAGTTGGCATTTGATTTCTGAAAGGATGTTGTTTGTTTTCAATAATGTTGTTGTTGGGAAAAGGGGGGGGGGCGAGGGAGGAGGCAGGTCTAGCAAGATATGTTCTACAGGAATGGAAATTCTTAAGGCATCCATGGGGGCTCGCCATTGCAGGGCCAAAGGCTCGCAACCGCAGGGCCAAAGGCTCGCGAAGGCAGGGCCAAGACTCACGCCGACTTGCGCGAGTCTGGAAAGCAGTCAGCAATTTTCGATGTCGAGCAAGCACGGTCAGGGCACCAAAAGCACCGTGGCTCCATCTTCCAGGACCCTATACACCAAGCACCTTTCAATCTGTGAGGTTGGAATGAAACCGGGATTGTCGCACAGGAGGACGGTGTCGGGGGTACTACCACGCTGGCACGGTGACCAACATGTGTACAAAGCCCCGATTGCTTCCACGTGAAACCAGACTTGGCCAACCTCTTGGTCCTTGGTTGCCACCATATCGTGGGCGCAGCACAGTGCATACGGGGTCAACCACGCGTCCAAGGATGCCTGAACATCAAGAGCAACAATCGGCGGAAGTTGAAGGAAGCGTCGGATATGAGCAGCGATTGCATCGGAGGCAGGCTTGGGGGAGCTCAACACAAGGCTCATCCCTGGCGGCTTGTCCTTCTGCAGCTGAGTTCTTTGCAACAGGACCACTTCGAGCAACAAGCCTCTCTCAAAGGAGGTGGACGCGTTGGCATTGTGGCTGTCGCTCGCGAACTTCTTGATCTGCTTGTGCTTGCGCTCATGCACAAAGCAGCTCAGCAGTCGGCCGTGACGGCGCCAGCACTCACCCAAATGGAGGGCATAATGGCATTTCGGCGGGAACTCCCCAAGCCCGTATACAGCCAAACGCCATTGAAGATGCGCCTTGATTGCTGCCTCCAATTCGTCAGGGGATGTGCCGTCGCAGATAGCCAGCTGCAACAAGTCCAGCGCCCTACAGAGAGCAAAAAAACTCTCAATCGCGGGGCCTACCGCGTGCGTCTTGTAGTCGGGCACGCATTGCATGAGCATGTACCTGATGACTGGGTACAAGCTCAATCCCTCGCTGGCACTGCACTTCAGTTCACCCGAGCCGGCAGAGCGCTTGTCGAACGCATGCTGCCCAGTCACGCCAGTGGTCTTCCGCTGCTTTGGCCAGACAAACTGAGAGATGAACTCATGCGCTTGGCGATTGCCTCGTGCGGCCCTAACCCAACAAACAAAGTATTATAACGGATGTTAGTTGAACAAAATAACCTTCGTCAACGCAGAGGACATTAGTTGAACAGAAGAACCTTCATCAATATACATGACATTTAATGCAAAGCTGGCGGCTGAAAGGATATCCTGCCAGAGTCTCCATCAAAAGGCCAACTTCTGAATTGAAAATACCAGATACAAGGTAGCAATGCATCCAGTCGTACTGGCAACAGGCTGTGGGGCCTCCCCGGAAACGCATGTGGAACGAAGGGTCGAATAAGGCACCCTCTGGCAGATAAGTGATGCCCAGGGATTGTTCCAGCCGTTGGAACGCTGTCTTGTTCAATGTTTCCTTCTGTGATCGGAGGTGCTCCACAGACTCAAGGATGCTGTTGGCAGAATGAAAAATCATCCGGTGCAGGTCAACACTTGTATGAGGGACCAGGATGCCCTGTTGATCATGCTCGTGTAAGTCTGAGGCGTGCTGGCACACGTTCCGGCAAATGAAACAAGGCAAACTGCCAGCGGCCCCCTTGAAGGACAAGCACTGCTTCAACGCAACCTCATCGCCAATGATGAGGCCCAGTCTACCAAAGAAAGGAATTTGCACGGCAGGCGCCAGCTGCAGTTGCACACCATCAAGGAGGGAGTGGGGGTTCTCAAAGAACTTAGAGGCCACAACTTTCAAAAGTTGAGCCACAACCGCGCTTCTGCAGTTTGGCATGGAAAGCAGCTGCAAACCCTTCGCATTCTGTCAGCAACTGGTGCAGCAAAGGCAATGGGTTCACCAAATGCTTTCTGGGCTCCGTTATTCATTTCCACATTGGCAGACACCCACATTGCCCCAATTCGTGTCTGCTGCGGCAGTGCCCGTTCCCTGGCACGCTTGATGGAACTGCGGCTACCTGCGTCAGGCAAGCCGTGTTCTCGGATTTGCTTGATTATCTCGGCCAGTGCGCTTTGGGACACATACGACCGGTGATGGCCAGTAACCAGCAGATCATTAGATGAACTGGCTCCAGACATGGTGTAGGGCGAGCTCAGGAGGCCCTGCCCGCTGCGAGCTCAGCAATGGCCCTGCAGACTTAGGATTGTGAAAGCGAGGCTGGTTAAGCCACATGCTGCAGAAATGATTCGGCTTTCCAGTCACGAAGCGTCCACGTGGAGCTCACCTGTGTAAACATACGTGTGCGCACACTCATGTGTTCACAGATCAGTTCATGGCCAGTGTGTATCTGTATGCATGAATGATTACAAACATATGTTGTTAAATGTCCTTTTTCCGAACAGTTGCAAACACAAGCAATTGCATGGATATCAACATGATGATCTAAGTCACAATGCATCATCGCTTGTGTTACACATGTCCTTGTGCGCGTGCTCGTGTGTCTGCGCAAGTAATGTTGTGCATATTTCATCACATGCCCCGATGTGTGCGCCAATCAGTGACACTGAACGCGCAACCATATACGCCTCCCTTTCAAACTGAGTCGCTGTGAGGGCGCAGCTCGTTCTGAGCACGATGCCCTGTTCCCAGCCCATTCGTCGAGCCTGCTCTGCGAACGACTGCAGCTGGATGCTTCGACCTGAAACGGGCGCGGGTACGCAGGGCCAAAGGCTCGCGAACGCAGGGCCACAGGCTCGCGAAGGCGCGCCCAAAGACTTGCACAAGTGTGGAAAGCAATGACCACAATCAAACAGACATGTTCAATGCGCTCAGGGGACCACACGCACCGTGGCTCCATCCTCCAGAACCCACAATGTATACGCCAAGCCCTTACAATCAGTGAGTTGGCAAAGGTATGTGGATCACATACAAGATCAGCAATGACACTGGCAGCACGCAATGCCACAACATATGAGCACATGCGTCAGGAAGGGCCCTTGCATGAAAGCCTGCTTTTCCTCCACAGCACGCAGCACGGAAATGCTTCTCTTCAATCCAAAATATCAAGCCGGTTGCAGCCTCCAAACATCCACCCTGATGGAACCAGAGGACGAACGTGCGGCTATGAACCTACTGAGCTCGTATAGACCTACACTGAGCCTTTTGGCAAAGCTGTGTGGGAGTGTCACTTTATCATACTGTATATCTGTACAATATCCACATCTATACGTCCAACTACACATATATGTATATATACAAACATATACAGATATATACATATATGAAAATATCTATCCATCTATCTATCTATCTAGCAAAAATGTGTGTGTAGTGAATTAATCTGGGTGGATGTATCCCCGCGCTGCCCCGGCTTCCCCATCATGAAAGAAGGCCACACTAGCTGCTATAGCAGTGGCTGGTGCCTTCAAAAAGAACGGCTCCCCCAACAGGAGCGGGTGCAGCCCGGGCGACCCCGGCACTTCGTGCAGCCATGTGGGAAGCGGCTCAGCCGAAACGCCACCAGCAGCCTCTTGCCCTTCACCGTGAAGTCCACCAAAGGCCTGTGAGCCTTGACCTGTCTCTTGACCTTGAGAGAACTCTTGGCTGTGGATTTGGGAGAAGTCTTGGCTTTGGCCTTTGCCTTGGGTGTGGCTTTCGGGGAAGCCTTGGCTTTGGCCTTTGCCTTGGGTGTGGCTTTGGGGGAAGCCGTGGATTTGGCATTGGCTTTCGGAGAAGCCTTTTTAGTCTCCTTGTTCATGCCCGGCTTCTTGGCAGCCTGCCTGTCGGCAAGCGCTCCACTCACCACAGCTGCCAAGTCCTGTGCACTGGGCTCCACCGGTGGGGGCGTTGCCTCCGGCAAGCCCGCCAGCTTGCCTGGGGCGGGCGGCGCTGGCACGTCCGCAGGAGCTGCGCCTGCCAGGGCAGCAGCTGGCGCTGGAGCAACCAGCGCAGGCATCGCCGCAGGAGGGGCGGCAGAGCCAGCAGATGGCGGTGGAGCAGGCAACGCATATTGCCCTGCAACCTGCGGGTCGGCAGGGGCAGCCGCTGGCATGGGCCCAATGGCTGGCGGGGCGAAGGTGCTGCCGCGCTGCAGGCCAGGGCCTCTGCTCTGGGGCTTGAAAAGCCGCAGGTTGGGCGGGCCTTCGTCTCCTGCTGCAGGAACGCCCATGTGCATGTAGCCCATCATCATCTGCTGCATCATGCTGGCCACTGCCTGCATCTGCAGCGGACCTTGGTTCATATCACCAGCGCCGGGCAAGCTGCGGTGAGTCCTCCGCAGAGGAACATCTGTCCCGAGATCCGCAGGTGAGAAGGACTCCATGCTCGGGGGGTCGCTGGCATCGTAGGCTGCTCCGAGCAGTTCCGCCGGAAGATCTGTCGGCAATGGTGGATACACTGTGAGGTGTGTGCCACTGCGCGCGGCGCACCGCACCTTGCCTTTCAGGCAGCGTTTAGCTGTCTCGACAAGGCGGTGCTTGGCCTCTGCCCTTTCGTCTGCCATGCCACTGTTCAACAAACAGCACTGAATCAGGACCTTGTACGTCCCCTCTGTCGGCAGGTGGCAGGCCAGCCGAACCAGCCGACCGCAGGCCACGTCAATCTTCTGGCAGACCGGCGAGACCGGGTCTCGCAGCACTGCCAGGTCGGCCTTGGTCAGGTAGGCCTGGATGTTCTCCAGCTGTTGGAGTTGACGGCGCAGCACCGTGCCCTTGGCCTGCTGGGCCGGGTTAGCGTCCATGCTGATCAGCTGGGTGGAAGACTGACACCGCCCAGACACACACACAGAGCACTGGGCCAAAATGTCACTTTTGAGTGCCGTTCGCTCACAACTGCTTTCAACATGTGCGCAACCACACAACTTCATGCACGAGCAGTCGCAAGTTGCAAAGGCACACGCAGGCATGCTCAATGCAGGACACACCAGCATAGCGCGAGCCATAGGCCCTGCGCCGGCGAGACCTCTGTCCCTGCCTGTTTGCTTTCGGTCGTGAGCAAAGCAGTCCTTTTTGTTTTCATGTGCAGCGCACCCAGGCATGTGTTGGCCTTCTGTACCCAAACTGCCATCTACAGGAAAGCGGGGCCACTTCTCACAGGGCGCCTTCAAAGGGGATGTAGCGGTCTTTCAAGTACACCACCTCTTGCTTGGTCTTGCCGCGGACGCGTCCTTGTTTGCACCATGCTCGAAAGATGGCGTTTCTTAGATATAGGTGTGTTACAACAAGTTAGCACCACCAGCTATTGACCACATTTCATTGATTCAAGAAACGAGCCGGCTTCTTGACCTTCAGTGTATTCCGCCACACGACCTCTGGCGCGATGCCATGCATCCCGCTCATCACCATTTGCACGTTGTTGCAGGCCCCGATCCCGCCCGTCTCCATAAGCGACCTTGACATATCGCCCACAAAGCTTACACTGCCCAACAAAACTATTTGTATACGTATTTCAAACCCTATACGTTTTGGGTACGGGGCCTTAAGGTAACAGAAAGCATGTCCCACACATGAAGCGCTATCAGGGAACCTCCTCAGGCGCTCCATGAGCCGGCTTCTGAGGAGTTCCGTGCATCCCCTCTCTGCCACCGCGGTTATGAACCTGCCAGAGGGGTAGCGAAACTGGACGTACAAGTTGTAACTCCCCCCTTCGACCTCCTCCGCAGAGATGAGCGTGGTGGCCACAACATCTCCCTCCGGCATTGCCCGCACCACGATCGCACCCCCGGTCCTGGCACGCCTCATCAAGTGCTGGATGCCCCGGCCGGACTCCACCGACATCGCATGGTCGAACCGGTGGTACGACATGTGGCCATTATCCCCCGGCATGAAGACTGATCTCTGACCTTTCCTCATGCGGTGAGTCTGCCTGGGGAAGAGCACCTTCCAAAGGCAAGTCCGGCCCTGGTATTGGGGCATCCTGGCCCCTTCTGGACCCCACCCCCGTGGGCCAATGGGCCTCCAATCAAACACCCAGCGCAACGACTCCTCGGGTTCTGGGCTGGATGGCGCTGGGGAAGATCTGTGAGGAGATTCATCAGACGAGGAGTCCATGATCAATCAGCAGCAGGGCTACAGGGAATCAGGGCTAAGCTGAAACAGAACTGTATTCACAATGCTTGTAGCAGTCCGGCCAACATGCAGGAACTCCTCATGCACCAATCCAGACAGCAAGCAACATCATGTGGAACCACAAACACTGAACCATGTTGCAAACAAACCCTGAACCTCAAGCCTCCCTCTTTGGTCTCAGGCAGTTGGGAAGTTATGTAGGAACAAACCCCTTCCCTTCCCTTTTTTGGGTACCACTGCACCATGTTGCAAACAAACCCTGGGCCTCAAGCCTCCCTCTTTGGTCTCAAACAGTCGGGAAGTTAAATAGGATCAAACCCGTTCCCTTCCCTGTTTTTGGGTACCACAGTGATTAGCGGACCCCCCCCTTTCTGGCCCACAGTGGCCCAGACCAGGAACCCCCGCCCCTTTCGGGTACTGCTTTTGGGTGGGTGCCAAGAACCCTTTTCTCAGGATCCAAGCCATCGAAAAAAAAAACCACGCAGAATTTCCTTTTTTTTCCGCCCAAACCGGCTGAGCGTGAGCCGTCGCCTGTGATTTGTTGCACAGGCCATTACAGATAAATGCGCCGCAGCTCTGCCAAAGCAGTTGGAATGCACCCCCCTCGCGGTCCCCAACCCCACTTTTGGTGGCAATCTGTGATTCCCAATGAGTCTCCATATTGTCGAAAAAAAACAATAATAGGTTTGTGTAGCGACCCAAACCGAGCCAGTGTCAACTACCAAGAGGATTGAATTTCCCAGGTCCGACTATTGTTAAATAACAATCGGATTGGATTGTCCCAGGTCCGCCTATTGTTAAACAACAATAGGATTGATTGTCCCAGGGCCGCCTATTGTTAAATACCAATAGGATTGATTTTCCTGGGGCCGCCTATTGTTAAATAACAATAGGATTGCCTTTCCCAGGGTCGCCTATTGTCGAATAACAATAGGATTGATTTTCCTGGGGC